CAACAAACTGAAAGTGCTACTTCCCAGTTTAATCTAATGCAGTACATGTACAATACATACTTTCCAAATAAGGTGCGAGTTTGGTCTTTTATGTCACTGTAGTCCATTAAGCTACGTTAAGCGCTTTGTCCTGACGGAAGGGGAATCTTTGAGTATGATGATGTATTGAGGGAAACAGATTATAATCCCGTTCACTGTAGAAAAGGCTGATAACATTAGCCTGGGTTTCCCCATACTGCCTTACCGCAGCGCGATTCAATTCACGCTGAAAGGCAGTCTGGATACCATGGCCAGATTTTTCGCCTCATTTAGGGAACCAATCACAGAACGGGGAGGGAGCAGCAAGACGATGACGCGTCTATGCGACACACCGAAGCAGTTTGTTTATACCCATGGATCAAACATGGCAGTAGACGCGAAGTTACCTTTTCGATGCAGCCTTACGGCCGTTTCACATATAGCTGCTAGGTTTCACACCGCAAGCGTGAGCGGCAATTTGAGCAGCGCGTCAGCGTAACATCGTCACTGCAGCTGCAGACGCGCGAGAGTATTCACACTGGAAGCGTTTGTAGACAGTAGCTGTGTCTGAAATCGCTCCCTATCCACTATATAGTGCACTATATCGGGTGTCGGCCATTTTGTAGTGGTGTCCGAATTCTGAGTGAACGACATCATTCCCTACATTCATTCACTACTTTTACCCACAATCCTCTCTGAATTCGAGTGTACATTCGATGTACACTTGCTGAAGCACTATTTCCCACAATCCAATGCGGAGAGAACTGAGAGAGCAGTTTAAACCATAGACAGTATAAGAAATGGACAGAGCCATCTCATTGGAACTCAGTTGAGACAGTTGAAGCCCATTTTTAGCGATTTCTGAGCATTTCCGTTCCTGACGCGCAGACTCAAACCGACTCAAACTAAGCTTGATGACGTGAGCAACCTGTCTGACAGACGTTACTCTTCTAGTAGCTGTGCGTGAAAATTGCCAACGTTAATCTTGCAGAGACGGGGAACTTGAGCAAAGAGTTCTTTGGCGTGAGTGAGCAGGAGTATGTATTCCGTTGCTTTTATGGACTCATTATCTATGGGCTTCTCCCTTGACGGGACGTCCCCCCGATTGCCTGCGAGCTTCTCCTCCTGTCTGTACGGTAATTTCTGTACAGCGCGACAGAGAGTCGAGTGGTTATGACGCAATCGTTAGCCTATTTTTACTAAAACTGTTTCTACGGGGCCATAATGTAACATAGAAGGTAATGGAGCACTTTATACATTGTCGTGTTTCTTTAGAAATAAATAATGGACAAATGGAGTCTTTAAACGCCTCAGATGTAAAGTTATTCGCTGTCAAAGTGACGCCAAAATGAATGGGAGTCAATGGAAATGCTAACGCAAGTGAAGTTCTGCTACAACATGGCGGCACCCGGCCGGCTTCAACTTCCGGTCGATGGATTACCCCCTTGGTTTAAACCAGAGATTACATTACAGCTTTCTTATTCCTGCTTTAACATTTATTTCATGCTAGTTTTATTTTTCTATTAATCATTACTTGAATAGAACATATTAAAACATTGAGACAATATTATATAGCTGAATTGTAAAATTAAATTAAATTATATGTATATCGTTTTTTTAATTAAAATATATTATTTAGGCATTAACACAATTGAATGTGTTTTACTAATGTGTTTTGATAATTTATGGCATTGTTGTTAACTCGTTAAACTGTAAAGGGAGAGATGATTATTTGGTGGATGATTTGAAAAATATCCGTTTATCATCTGTAGGAAGCGTATTCATTCGAATATAATAACGGTCGCCTGAGGGCGCTCGACGACCACGTCATCTGTGAGCGTGAGTGAGAGTTACAATTTCAGTCGATGAAACTACAAAGCTGGCACGGAGGTGTATACAATTACAAAATAAAGTCATTATGATTGTGATTGTTGTTAATATTATTTTATAAAGTAAGTAACATAAGATAAAAGGAGTTTTATCAGTACGTGTGACGAATCCTTTTCTGCGACAGCTCCAACTCTCCGACGCACAGTGTAAACGTCAGTGTCCGAATTCACTCACTTCATTTCGTTCACTCCTTGCAGATAAATGCCGCGTTCCAGGCAACCTGTAACCCGTGTTTTTCCAACTCGTAACTGTGAGTACATCGTTCCAGGCAACCTGTAACCCGTGTTTTTCCAACCTTATACCCGTGAAAGTGCACTGGAACGGCAGTCAAACCCGTGACTTCCCACCCGTGAATTCGTACTAGATCGATGTACTCCCAGTTACGAGTTGAAAAAACACGGGTTACAGGTTGCCTGGAACGCGGCAATAGTGCACTCAAATGCCATACACTATATAGGGATTAGTGAATGAGTGAACGAGTGAGCGGTTTCGGACACAGCTCTAGTCACAGCAGCGGCTCCAAAGCTAATGCCGCGTTCCAGGCAACCTGTAACCCGTGTTTTTTCAACTCGTAACTGGGAGTACATCGATCTAGTACGAATTCACGGGTGGGAAGTCACGGGTTTGACTGCCGTTCCAGTGCACTTTCACGGGTATAAGGTTGGGAAAACACGGGTTACAGGTTGCCTGGAACGCGGCATAAATATCGTTAGCCTCATAGCATAATTGCTTAAGTCATTTTGTGTTTTTTCTTGTTTTCCAAAGACATTGAAATTTGACTTCGGCATTATATATAAGCGAGCAATTTTTTACAAAAACAACTATACATTTGTTTTTAGAATTGGTCATTTTATAACATTGATAGTCTTGAAAGTTTGTAATGGGGAGGTGTACAACATTCGCATATAAGTTAAATGTAATACAACAAAACAACCCAGAAAATGGCTCCAATCTATTAGTTTCAGTCATACTTTCGATGTTTACAAGACCGCAACTCCGCGGATAAAAAACAAAACACACAAATAAACCACACACTCGGTTTTGATTTGGGTTGTGCTAGCCTGTAGCTGTCTGTGTGTTAACGTTACATGAACTAAAAGAACGTTTATATATAATATTTTATGGCTAGTTTACTTTAGTTTTTTTTATTTATATAATACACAACTTTCACCCAAACTGAATAATTAAAAACAAGTTTTTACCGGGTAAATCTTCTATAAATATTTTAGAGTCTTTATTTTATTTTATTTGCCTACTCAAGTTCTTGTTAAAACTCACTAGACATGCTAATTCTGTGCATTTTGGGCAATTTTTGTGTGAAATCACATTTATTTTTGTCCATCAAAAGTGTGCTTTCACTTTAATTTAGCGTGAGCAATGGAGCAAAAAACAGATTCGAAACCCCCGCTTCACTGCTGCTCACACGCCGCTCCTGCTCGATGCTCACGCGCTGCTCCCGGTGTGAATGCACTCATTGCTTAACATGCACGCCGAAAAAATACGCGCCGGTCACGCATGCGGTGTGAAACGGCCATTAGATACACGCCATCGTGTAGGCTCTACACATAAATCTCTGACCCATCGTCTTCTTCCTCGTCTAGTTTCTGTCGCGCTACATACGTCATCTGGTATAATTGAAACGATTGGCTATGAACTACGTACAGGCGCATTTGATAGACATTCTTAGCACCCAATAAACGGCTCTGGGCATTCGTAAACCACGCCTCAAATACGAGAAAATGAACATGTGGTTCCCAGACCCAATTCTCAACGAGATTGGGTCTGGCGTTAGCCAGGGTATGATAACATAAGGCTACACAGGGAAAGTAACAATGAATGAAACATAAAAACAGCTTTTGTCCCTTTATCATCTTCTCCGCATATATACTGACCCAGATAATCGTCACAAAAAACTTAATGCATGCTGAGTTTTTATGAATGAATGGCTTGCGCTAACTGTTGCTCTGGTCTTCGTCAACAACACGCGCTTGCACCCCCTGCTGGTGAGGTCGACTAACAGCAGATGGAGATTATACTCGGTAATCTACTGCTTTTCCTGCAGCTCCTGGATGTCAACGTTGAATTTACTGTCGAATTTGAACCACTGAATTTGTGGAAGCGAATTTGCAAAGCGAAATAAAATGGACCGAAAACCGCCTGTTGAATATTATAGGTTGTATTTTTAATCAGTTTGAATATTTTGGAAGTGAAATATGAAAGGTGAATATGGATTATTGAAATTTTACTAATGAAAATGTGTTTGAAATGTTTTGATTTGAAATATTCACAGCTTAAATATTCAACCATGCTAAATTTCAGCCTATAAAAATAAAAGCCCTAAAAATACAATGTATTAAAATACAAGCAGGGTTAATGCAATGCATATTTTTTTCAAGTAGTACAATTCAACAGGCTTTTTGTTTCAAAAACATTTGGCATTATTTTACTTCCATAGGGGGGCAATTCAGAGGGGGAAAAGGTTTGAATCCAGCTTGATTCAAATGTAAAACACAAATGTGAAATCACTGCACCACCTTGTGGCCAGGTCTCTCAAAAACTGCCTTGCATATCCCAAATATCATGCTATTCACCATTTTAATATATATATATATATATATATAATTTAAGACATGCTGCGCTTCTACCAAGGAAAAACATCAAAGGCATCAAATCAATATTGAAAATCACACAGTTGAGCATTCATGAGGAGGATTATGTATAATTAGTGCCCCTCATGACCTTGACTTGAGGGAATTGTGGGTTCCTTTTGTCTGTGTGTACAAAACTATAGCCTATAATACAATTGTATAGGTCTACTATTATATTACAATAATATAATATCATAAATGTATAGTAATTATACACAATATGCATAGCCTACAGTAAAATAAGGAGGAGGAGAAAAAGAAAATCACAACAGAACCCCTAAAATCCTGCTTGGACCTCAACTATGTAAACAAAATGACTTTCCCAAAATCTTGAGCTCGAAATGTGAATTCGAGATTAAATTCCTTAATTCCCGTTTCTTACAGTAGGCGGCAGTATCGCGCAATCACACGAAACAATAACAAGCAGAAGAATTACCGGATATCCGGAAGTGTTGCATTGTGGGGTTCATTTCGTTTGTCGCTAACCGAATGGTTGAAGTAATGAATTAAGAGCTTTGGCCGCTTAAAATTTCTGCACCGTGCTTTAGCTGAACAAGCGCGGCGTTTATTGGTTTACCCAGGCAGCTTGAGAATGAACGATCGGAGTTGAATCATGATTATAAGGCGCACAGGAACAGCAGCAGCACTGATGTGTGGATGTGGAGAGTCAGCGTAAACTGATCAACCGAAAGGTACTGACTCCTCTCATCCTCCAAACACTTACACTCCCTGCATTTGAATTGAAAGCTATACTCAAAATTACACTCTGTCGGACAGTGTTTTAGCGAGCTACTATAAGAAAGCCGACCAGATCATCTGAATCTCCACACAAAGCCGTTGCTGTGGGTGTATCATCATTAATACCCCATTGAACCTCCTCGCCTGGTTTCGATTCCCTTTAAACTCTGAAGCATCTCGGCAGCTCATCCCTCATGGCCTCTTCATCGGGGAACGACGATGACCTGACGATCCCGAGGGCGGCGATCAATAAAATGATTAAAGAAACGCTTCCCAATGTGCGAGTAGCGAACGATGCCAGAGAGCTGGTGGTGAACTGCTGCACAGAGTTCATTCACCTCGTCTCATCAGAGGCCAACGAGATCTGCAATAAATCAGAGAAGAAGACTATATCCCCTGAACATGTTATAAACGGTGAGGATGGCACTTCTTGATGATCGTGAGGTCACCAACAGCTCATTTTTCATTTGGGAATAGGGTTTTATTCAAAGCTTGTGCAGTAAACTGGAGTTAAAGAGAGAGTTCGCTCAAAAAATGAACATTCTGTCATGTATTTGCTCTCATACACCCTCACCCGTATTCCTTGCTTGCTTCTGTTGAACACAAAACGAGATGTTAGTCCGAATGATAGTGTCTGACAACCTCATTCACTTGCAATGCATAATTTCCAAGCAAATATCTTAAAGGGATAGTTGTCCCAAAAAGATAAGTTTTGTCGTCAGTTACTCACCTTCACGCGTTTCTTCTGTTGAAAACAAAAGAATATATTTTAAAGAATGTTGGCAACCAGACTTTTTTTTGACGGCACCCATTGACTTCCATGTCTTTTTTCTTTCTACTATGTAAGTCAATGGATGCTGTGAAAAGTCTGGTTATCAACATTCTTTAAAATATCATCTTTTGTGTTCAACAGAAAAAATAAACTCCTACAGGTTTGGAACAACTTGAGGGTGAGGAATTACTGACAACTTCATTTTTGGGTGAACTATCCCTTTAAAAAAAACTAAACCGTTCTACTAGTCTTAGCTGCTCTCCCAATGTTGTCAGTTGTTCAGGCTTTTAAAGGGGTTTTGGGCACTTTTCAGCTGCTCAGCCTGTGAGACTTCTTGTCTCTTGAAGTTAACTTGAAGTTAAATTGGTTTAAATGGGAGTTCACCTTAACATGAACATTTTGACAAACTCCAAACCTGTATCCTGTTCATAATGTGGAACACAAAAGAAGATATTTCGAAAAATGTTGGTCTTTTTTGTGTTTTGTCTATAAAATGAAAGTCAATTGCGTCCAATGTTTTAGACACCAGTGACTTAAATTGTTCTTCAGTTTTTTACACGGTTCTGCAAAATATAGACCTGGTTTCACAGACAGGGCTTAGATTAAGCCTGGATTAGACCTTCAATTTCGACATTTAAGTAGCTTTTATAAACGTGCCTTACTGGTGTCTGGTGTGCATCTTGAGACAAAACAATGGTACTGACATGTTTTAAGATATCTCGGTGCAAGTTGCTTTCAGTTAAAACAGCTCAAACATGCATTTTAGTCTGCAACTGGGCTTAAACTTTGTCTGTGAAACCGGGGGTTAATCTTTTAAATAATAGTAATAGAAAGTAAGACATACCCTCATGTTACTCCAAACCTGTAAATAAAGAAATTATCCAATTTTCATTTTTGAGCGATCTATCCCTTTAAATGTTTGATCTAATGCACCATGGTGGGTTTGAATCTACAATCTTTTAGTTAACAGCTGAGATCTTGGACCAGGCTGCATTAATATACACAAGATTCAGTCTTAGACTCAGATTTGATTGTATTACAGTCATGTAAAAGATTTACAGCTTTAAGATAACGGTTTCTTGTTCATTGGCGGTTGTGCATTTCACTTCAAACTTGTACATCTCTCCTAAAATCCAATGTAACAGTGAATGCTTTTTCTTCAGCACTTGAAAGCCTAGGTTTTGGTTCATACATCGCAGAAGTAAAAGACGTTCTGCAGGAGTGTAAAACTGTAGCACTTAAGCGGAGAAAGGCCAGCTCCCGACTAGAGAACCTTGGCATTCCCGAGGAAGAACTTCTACGTCAACAGCAGGAATTATTTGCCAAGGTAAAGATCCTGGAAGAGCTTAAATTATTCATGAAACGGATAAATGGAACTTTTCGCTCTGTAGGTTTGGGGTTTGTTCCCAGCCTGTAACTAGATTAAGTATCTGTTCTGATGAGTTGTGCTGTCTTCCAGGCACGGCAGCAGCAGGCTGAGTTAGCACAGCAGGAGTGGTTACAGATGCAGCAGGCCGCCCAGCAGGCACAGTTAGCGGCGGCTTCAGCCAGTTCCGCTCAGCAGGCCGGATCTTCCCAGGATGAAGATGAAGAGGACGACATGTGAATCCTGGCAGGCTTTCTCCGAAGCACACAGATAGATTGACAAATATATATATATATATATATTTACAGACATGTACGGTCTCCCACACACACACACACACACTGTCCTCCGTAAACCTTAGCAGAGAAGGAACTCTGCAGTGTTGTCTCCTTTATGGACTTTTAAATCCCAGATGAACAGTATAAATTCATGCTGACGGTTCAGGGGCAGTCATGGGTGCTCTCCTGTGATTTGTTGCTTCGTTTGCCTCGATTCACTTGTTAACTAGAATTATTAGCTCTTGAAAATCCCTCTTTTCTTTCTCATTTGTTTCTGATTTAATTAAAGGCAGTTGTCATCGTTTCACTATGTGTGTGGGAAGGATGCTAAGTCATGTGATGTGGCTGTGATGTAAGTTGCACCATGTTAATAGTCATTGGTTAAATTCAGGAGCTGCTGTTTTGAATGGCTGCGTCCTGTTTTAGGCGATTTACGTATTTCTCTTATATTTGTCTTTGTTATATAGTTTGAAGAGACACAATTGGGGAACATTTTTGGAAAGTGACTTTTACAGCCGTTCATCCCCGCTTCCGTATTTCTCTTTGTTCTGCTGAGTGAGATCAGAGAACGTGATTTGTAATGTAGGATGTTGCTTTTTGGTTCATTTTAGTTCGAGTGAGGATAAAGATTGTGTAGATAGGCTTTTACCTGCCCTGTGTTCAGAACAGTATTCCAAGGAAAAGATTTACATGTGCAGAATAAAATCTGTCTTATAGTACCAAAGATAGAAGAAACTATAAAAAAAAATTCAGTCACCAGATAGGCTTTGGAAATCTGCTCATGGTATTTGCTCTCTGTATGATACGAGTGCTTTGGTGCAGATTGCGCTGAACGCTCTTACTTACACTTTGTACAATGTTTTGATAGCAGATTTTTTTTTACAGGTGCAATGTGTAAAAGTGGAGTTGTGAATGTGTGGTTAATTCATATCCTGTGATGACTGGTAAGGTGTAGTTGAGAAGCGTATTCACATGCCTTTGCAAAAGCTGTAAGCTGTATTCTCTAAGCAATAAAGTCAACCCGTTTTATAGACAGCCTGTGTTCTTTTTTTTTTTTTTTGGTTAATGGAAAGTTTTAAAGTGGGCATGAAATGGAAGTTACGAGTGTATGTTCTTGTGACATGTGAAACGGCTTCTCAAATCGGGACTTGATTTTGTCCATCGGGAATTGATTGGATGGTTGTGGTTTGCTGTTGCTGCGATCTCATGTGAGTGACAGGTTGTCTCGCCCTCGCTAATAAACACGTCATTAGAGAAGAGACGTCGTTACAAGAGGGAGGGGAAGTTTGAGGTTTAGGATTCCGAGGGCACGTGAGTTAAAAAAGAAAAAAATGTGCACGGATAAATTAATTATAATGAATTGACAATTGATTTAATGATGCCTATAAAATAAAATAAATATATATATAAAAAAAGAAAGAAAAGATTCTGAAGTATTCATGATGGTAATTACCAGAATGTTTTTTTTAAATGACAAATTAAAATATTAATTAACTACGTATAACCCAAGAAAAAGTGCTGAAAATTGTGAACGTTTCTATGACTGAACGTGGAAATCCTGCCCTGTAGTATTTGAACTGGGTGCTGGTTGTATTATTATGGTGTATCTGACTGACAGATGGCGCTCCTGCAGCAGTAAAAGAGACGAGAGTCTTACTATGGGGGAAGGCTTTAAAACATTAATATTAATTACTAGGTGACGTTCTTTCAGTAGCCCAGAGTGATTTGCTAAATCATTTGATCTTGAATATGATCGGGTTACATGACTGGACGCTACCGGAAGGTGACCAGGAACGTCATTATGACCTAATTAATATTCATAAGCTCTGCCTCTGCCATAGTAGAATTGGTAAATTCACGCTTTGGACGTGTAGAGAAACTGTTGCGCTCCAGTCCTCCACCGTTCCCACCATTCCGCTTTTATTTACGCCTACAGAAGTGAAAGGTCGATCGGTTTCTGAGTTTGGCTGTATCAAATGAACAGAGGAAGAGCATTCAAATAGATTAAAAGAGTAACTGTTATGAGGTAACAGTTATTGCAAGGAGAACTTTAGAATTGCCATCAACAGATCGGTCTGGTTCGGCATTCCCGTTTTTTCCTCATACTACCGAGCCGAGGTACGGTAAGTTAAGTGTCAAACTGACCGCATGTATACTGTATGCATAGGTGTTTATGTGTACTAACTACATCACTCTCATAAAGGGTTAAATCTGTTCAGAGGTAAATAATCATATAAATGTTTAGCCTATAAACACAGTTGCACGGTTGATTTTGATCTGACTGGCTTTAGTCAACATTTACCTGCCTATTGTTTAATAGTTGCTCTAACTATTATGTTCCTATGTGATGATGTTATTGCTTCATGTTCAACAATGAGAATATTACTGCTGTTAACGTGTGGTGCATTTATTTATTTGACATGGATGTGTTGCCAAATGGAATCTTATTATGAACGATACATTTTTTTGTCAGTTTAAGATCAGCTTGTGTCCTCACTGACATAGCTGCTCTCTTTAGACACAGTATAACTAGTAATATTCTGTTGTTTTTGCTATGGGATGAATGATGAGTGATTGATCATATCACAGAATTATCAACAACATTCTGTTCATGTTATCCAGAGGAAATGTTGACATTCTGACTGACATGAACCAGATCTGTTAACTTACTGTAAAGGACTTTGTACATTGATATGTTAAATGCAGGCAGTACATTTCAGGTTAGACATGAATCGGTGGTCTGGGTATTCTCATAGCAAAAAAAAAAAAAAAAAAAAAAAGGAATTGGTGTGGACAGCTGAGCCTGTTCTCTGTTATTTTTTGGAAACTTTGATACAAGATACTATTTTTATATATTGCATTTACATACCATTTGTAACTGACTGCATGAATGTTTCTAGTCTGTTGATCCTGTGAAGTATGTTTTAAATCTTAAATCTTTACTAGTATTTCCTGCTTAATTCGCTTATTGCCCTTTCAGGCTGAATTTATTTAATGAAAATAAAATGTACAGTTATAGTTCATCCATTTTTTTTGTCATTATTTATTGACACTTATGTCTTTCCAAACCTGTATGACTTTCTGTCTTCTGTAGAACACAAAAGAAGATATTTTGAAGAACTCTTTAAGGCTTTTCACTTTTTGGGAAAGTTAACCCTGGGTCACACTAAACCCTGAGTGATCAAAATCCTAGGTTATCTTGTTTCACACTGCTTATAATTTACCCGGGGTTAACCCTGGGTATTCATAAGATGACATTTCACACTGTACTGTTATATTTGCAGTGCACTAGAAGAAAAGGTTCTAGAACCTTGAACGGTTCTTTCAAGTGCTACATAGAACATTTTAGGGGTTCTCATCATTGGATCATTTTATGGATTTAGTTTTAATTAATTGATTTAAATTCATTTTTTATTTGAATTACATTTTATGAACTAAAAAGCTTTAAACATACTTTATCACATCAAAAAAATTAAATAACTTGTTAAATATGAAATAATTTTGCAATCATTTAAGACCTTTCTATATAGAATCTTTTTGGCATAAAGCGTTCTTTTGAAACAGTCAAGAACCCTAGGGTTCTATATAGAGGAATTGAATAATTGACGAATATAGCACACAACCTGTTTACATAAAGACTCTAAGCATTGTGCATCTTCATATTGCCAGCGACTGCTACCAAGTTTTTCATGAATGGACTTTCAGACTGGTAAGAATGAAACCCTCTCCTCTTCACTGCAATTGACGGTCAAATGCTGAAGCGTACTGTTTATACATCATGCAGCATTTCTGTGACTGTTTAAAGCATCTAAACCTGAGTCACGTGATTGGGTGTCTTTTATCTAACCATAACATTCCAACACCACATTGTTTTACACTATACAAGTTTGCAGTGTTGTGTAGTAACTGATGTAATCTGAATTATGTAATCAGATTACAAAAATTAAATTCTTGTAATTTGATTTATTACATTTTAAAATACTCATAATCCGAATACAGTTTCTTTTTTATTGATAACATGATGATTACTTAATATTCACAAAATGGCAGTAAATTATTCAGAATTTATTCTCCCTAATTCCTTTTCCTTTTACAAACACAGATCGGCCACTAGTCAGGCGACTAAAATCTTTTTTTTGGTTCGTTTTTTATTTTGATTGTTATTTATTTTTTCTTATCATTTGACTTTTTATGATTTAAATAATTAAGCCTTTCATAAATGTATGAACCCCCTGCAGTTCCTTCACAAAGCCTACTACTCAGCAGGGATTCATAACCCTGTCAAAAAAGTGCTAACAACTTATAAATTATTGTGAAACATTCCTCTACCTGGGGTTAAAAGCAGGGGTTTGAACGATTATAGCCTTTTTTTTGTTTTTACATTGAAAGTCAATAGGTTCCAAAACAACATTGGACCCCATTGACTTTCTTTGTATGTAAGAAAAAATACAGAGAACACTTAAATTAAGAATATCTTATTTTGTGTTCTGCAGAAGACAGAAAGTCATACAGGTTTGGAGCAATATGATGTTGAGTAAATCATGACCGAATTTTCATTTTGGGGTGAACTATTGCTTTGAAGGAGGGTGTCACTACTAGCGGTTCCAAATATTGAATTTTTGGTTTCAATTAAACAGGTTTCTTGAGCACTCCCCCCTCCTGTCACTGATTGCTCAAACATATAGTCCCACCCCAAACTCGTGCCATTGTTTGAGTCTGTGTTACGTAGTTGTGTATAGGGGTCAACGTTTGGCTGGTTACAGATTTAAGCAATTTGAAAAACAATTTTAAAGGATACCTTTAAAGACCTTCTTGGTTGGGAACCACAAACAGAGACAATTGATGAACACTTAAAGGGTTAGTTCACCCAAAAATGAAAATTATGTCATTAATGACTCACCCTCATGTCGTTCCAAGCCCGTAAGACCTCCGTTCATCTTCGGAATACAGTTTAAGATATTTTAGATTTAGTCCGAGAGCTTTCTGTCCCTCCATTGAAAATGTATGTACGGTATACTGTCCTTGTCCAGAAAGGTAATAAAGACATCATCAAAGTAGTCCATGTGACATCAGTGGGTTAGTTAGAATTTTTTGAAGCATCGAAAATACATTTTGGTCCAAAAATAACAAAAACTACGACTTTATTCAGCATTGTATTGTCTTTCGGTTCTGTTGTCAATCCGCGTTCACGAGTCCGCAGTGACGCTGATGACGTAGGACGCTGCTGACGTGTTATCTGGTGTTTCCATGTATTCGGGTTCAAATAAATATGGCTGGGCAAAAAAATGCAAGTCTTCCACTGATGTCACATGGACTACTTTGATGATGTCTTTATTTCCTTTCTGGACAAGGACAGTATACTGTGCATACATTTTCAATGGAGGGACAGAAAACTCTCGGACTAAATCTAAAATATCTTAAACTGTGTTCCAAAGATGAACGGAGGTCTTACGGGCTTGGAACGACATGAGGCTGAGTCATTAATGACATAATGTTTCCACCGCAGGAACTTTCCTCAGGATTTAGGGACTTTGGGGTGGTACTCCTTTTATTTCAACCACCATTTTTAAAAGTCTGCTGCGGTGCGTGCAGTAAGAGTTGTTTTGCTATTTGATTCAACAATGGAGTTTAAAAAATATGACAGATGGACCGACGACAAGGTTCAGGCTTTATTAAGCTTATATTCGGAGGACGAAATCCAGCAGGAACTGGAAAGTCGCTTGCAGTCCTACGTCACTGGCTAATTTGTCTACGCTTTACGCTACGCAGGCAGCAACAGGTCTGGGGGGGAAAAGTTCCTGGGACAAACTGCCCCGGGTAATTTCGGTGGAAATGCAGCTTTTTTTGAGAAATCAGCCTAAAGGCTTACTAGTTATCACCACACCTTTAATTGACCCTTCGCAGGGAGCTTGATTGACAGGTGATCTGACCATCCGCCATTTTGTCCGACAAAGCAGTCAGGAGAGTTAGTAGATTAACATGGGAGGATTTGAACTTGAAAAACGGAATGAACTGATGCCTTTCTGCGGTTAAAACAACATTCCTTCTTATGTTCATTCATGTTTATTTGATGCTATAAATGAACTAGAAGGAAAAGATGATCGGATCACGAGCAGCTTTAACTGATGCTCTACAGCGATCTGTCACGACACATTAAAGAGCCACAAAACGGTATTTATTGTTTAAAAGAAATTTAAACAATAAATACCGTTTTGTGGCACTATGTCCAACAAGCTACGCTGCTCTCACACCATGTTCTCACGCAGTGAAAAATACATTGCGATCTGTCACGACACATTAAAGAGCCACAAAACGGTATTTATTGTTTAAATTTCTTTTAAAAAATGACCAAATTTGAAAGGTGAGACTTTGTTTAATATGTTTAATATCAAAAGTAACCGAAAAGTAACCTGGTCTGTCCTGTCTGTCAGCGTGTTGTCAGTCCGCGATGTATTTTTCACTGCGTGAGAACATGGTGTGAGAGCAGCGTAGCTTGTTGGACATAGTGACAGTAACTAAGGGGGGCGGGTCTTTGCGAACGGTCAATTGCCCTATTTTGCAGCATTTTTGTAATATCATATGCTATTTGGATCTATAATGCAGAATTGCATGGCGCAACGTTCACTTGGTTTATATAGGAAATATGCAGTGTGCATTTCATAAAGTCATATGAAAGTTAAGTCAGATAACTACAGTCCGATCACTAGATGTTGTCAGGCCAGTTAATCAATGAATGTGGATTTACCAGTTTGGTCAAGCTTCAGGTCAACACAAGTCACAAGGTTAGCCATTAGCTTTCCCTTTGTACATTGCTGATTGCTATGCAATGCAATGTATATTCATTTTAGGATTTGCTAAAGATTACCTTTAACAATGTTATTAAATTGTGTTTTTAAAGATTAATTGACTTTAAGTGACTTTAATCGGCCAGTAGGCTAAAGATCTTCTTGTAGATTGATTGATAATGAATAAAGTTTCAGCTGAAGATTGTCTTCCAAATCCCTTAGACGTAATATATTAATTGAAACTTTATTTTGCACACAAACAAAGATCTGCTGCAAGGAGTCGGCATTTCTGGTGCCTGTGCCGAACTGTAATGGGCAACGTAGCTCCTATGATGAGA